AAAGTCCTAATCAAAAAATAACCAACTAACTATTTCTTGCTGCTTTTAAAAGACAGTAAAGTCTGACCGCTTCTAGCGCTCGGTAGTAGTAACATAATCGATCAAAACGATCGTTAATAAAACTTAACCGAACCATAAAACTGTATCGAATTCTACCAATTCATTTATTGCAATTAAGAAGCGCCCATAAATTCGTACAGATGAAAAATCGACTCGCCAGCGACGACTCGACGCAACGACTCGACAGAAACGGCGACTCCGTTCATCCAAAAAATTATTGATCCACGACGACGACTGCCGCGAATTCGCGCGTATATTTAACTAAAAATGTACCCCCCTCCCCCCTATAAAAGACTGCAGATTCGATTAATTTGCGTGGAAATCGATTAGCTGGAATTCAAAGCGCGACGGAGACGCTCAAAGAATATTTATCTGAAATTAACAGCCGCTCGCCGTGCAATTTTCCCCCGCGTTCGCGACGATTAGAGAGAGAGAGAGAGAGAGAGAACTTCCCCGATCGTAACAATTTCTTCGCAGAAACGTTGTTATTTACCGTGCGCCGCTTGTATTTCCTCGAACGCTTAAATATTGATAGTTTCCTTCCGACAGAGAAGAAAGGAAACGTCACGGGACCGGCTCGTCGTCACACCGGCCGCCAAAGGGTTAAACGGGGAAAGCGACGGCTGAACGGCGGCTGCTCTCGCGAGGAGAACGCGAGGAAAATCCGCTGCTTTCGCGCAACGATCCGCGGCGGGTGTCTCTGTTTAGCTAGAAGCGGAAAAAGGGTAAAACGCAGGAATCAGAGCGGAGCTAGGAGTCGAAAAACAGGCCGCGCTTATCCGGAGCGGATCGTTCGCGCTGATCCGAGTTGTAGAATAATTGGAGTTGCTACGGTTAAAAAAAAAAAAAAGAACACAGTGATGCAGAGATAGAGCGAGAGGGTGATCGGAAGGGGGTGCGGGATATATGGGATATGGGAGAGCGGGGAGGGTGGCAGTTCTTTGGTCGAAATCGCGTTATATCGTTTGTCGCGTACGGGTGGTTGAGTCCTCTCCCTCCGTACATAAAGTACGTATCGCATTAGCGCGTTAACGCCAATGCGTTAGCCGGTCGGCCGGCGTCGAATGGCGCTACGACCGGGATAAACGAGGATAAAATGATGGGGGTTGGGCGCGCGCGGCGAGGGTAGGCCGTGGAATTGTCGCCGATTGAAAACAACGGGCGTCGACTCGCGTTGCGTCGCGTCGACTCGACTCGAACTCGACCGGGGCTCGGAACAGGCTCGAACGGGACACGGATCCGAGCTCGAACCCGAACGGAAGATCCGATCCGACCCGACCCGACCCGATCCGGCTCGACCCGACCCAACCCGACGCGACCCGGTTCAACGCGGATCGGCGACGCCGCCACCGCCGCCACCGCCGCGGAGAGAGCGAGTCCGTGTCACGGGAGACGAAAGGGGTGGGTGCTCGAGAGGCGACAGGGACGCGGAGGAAGTCCGGAGGGGTCGGGAAACCGGGGGTTGTCCAGGGCCAGAGGGCCACGGCGAAGAGAGAACGCGCAGCCAGCCCGACAACACCGGTGTCCCGCTGCGTTCGATTACAACGACGCCCGTAATAACCGAATTGCCCACGGCCCGTTAAAGCGTTTACACCGTTTGACGGATGATCGACCACGCTGACTACTCGTTCCGCGTAATATATGAATATGAACCAGCCGCTAACGGACTCTCCCGTCACCGAATCGTAATCCAGGACTCTCTCCTCCGAGATGCGACCCTCGGCGCACCGACCCGACCCCTCCCGCGTCGTTTCGGTGTTGTTCGTTTCCGTTTACGACGATGATCCCGCGTTTTTCTTTTACACCACCCTTTCGAAGCGACGTCGATAACACGATGATCGGACCGCGCGAATTTTCTGCGTTCCTGTGAGAAATGAATAGCTCGAGTATAAAATTTTCCAAGGACGTGAATGCAAGTTAATGATTACGGGATAATTATACGACGGATTTTCGTGCAAAATTAACATTGTCTGCTGTTGTTGCAAGATACGGGAGCTACGTGGACGCGACGATAGTTGTCGATTCTTTGAATAATTTTGCTTAATTTTCTGGACTAGGTTGATAAGCGAATTTTTAAAGCAGAGTCGTTATAAGTTCGACGACTGGACTATGTACAGGTGCAGAGGAAGTACTGTTCGTACATCTGTATATTTTAATTTGACTGCTTTAGGATCGGGGACATTGTCACACGATTTTTTCCGCACCCTGTAATTACTTTATCTTTTGGCTAATAAAATCTCGTTTCAATGCCTAAAGAGTTGGTATTGTTTGAACGTCAGGTTTACGGAATCCGTCGAAATGACGGGTCTCTAATTTTTTAATTTTCTATCATCCAAATTGTAAAGATACAATTGCGGATTACTAGATATATTTATGAGTTATTTGATACATTTGTGAGTTCCTAGATGCATTTGCGAGTTTTTAAATGCACTTGCGAGTTTTTAGATGCACTTGCGAGTTTTTAGATGCACTTGCGAGTTATCAGATGCATTTGTGAGTGACTTGATACATTTACGAGTTATTAGATTCATTTATGTATTATTAGATACATTTATGTATTATCTGATACATTCACGAATTATATTTACGAGTTATATATACATTTATGAGTTCATGCGTGTCAGATACATTCATTAAATATGCGCGTTACCCGCGGCAAACATTACAAGAACACTCGTTAGAAATCAGAATAAATGCCTCATTGTCACTTTTACGAACGAATCTAAAACAGCTGCTCTTAGCGTTCGGTAAACCTAGTGCTAAAAGTCCCCCGGACCCGAACGGTTCGTCGGATTTCCTTAAATCTCGAGTTTCGTCCCCGATTAAACGCGTATCGGCTTGCTTTTTTTCCCCCGCCGGCCACGGGCAGGTTTCCCGCGGAAGCATTTCGCGTCGCGTCGGGTCGCGTCGTCTCGAATGTCACCGAGCGTTTTTCCGCGGAAAAATCTGTGGCGGCGATACGGAACCCACGGATACGGTCGGCGAGCACCGCGGCGTGGCGCGGGGCAGGGGCGGGGGCGGCGAGAAGAAAAATCGTGAGCCCGCGGGAAACCGTAACGAATCGACGGGAATATAACAATCCGCATCGATGGGGTGTTCGATGAAACGGCACGACCGGCGGGAACGTGAGCGCGCACGAGTTCGCGCTCGTTACCAACGTCAAGCGTGATAACCGAATTGGGTATGGACCATTAAAGCGATTACGACACCTGACGAACGCGCTACAAACGGCCATTTGTCGTAGTTACGTTCTCCCTACCGTCTCGCTGCCTTCGAGATGGATTTTCCTGCTAACTAGACGCCCGTTATGCCAACGGCTAATCGGATTAATCGTTCCCGCCTCGCTCGCGAAAAACGACGCGACGGAAATCGCGGCCCGCTCCGCGAGAGGAGCCTCTCTCTCACGGAAAATTTACGGCTCGACGGAAGTCGGCTACTGGGAACAGGACGACGACCGCGCTCGACCCTCGGATCGCGGTCCACGATTCGCGGGGCCCTTGCAGACGGACGAATCTTACGCGGACTTAGCCGCTCGCCGCATCGTTCTTTTCCGCGGGTACGACGATTAGAAGCTTTTTTTCGATCGAAGTAATTTCGAAGAAGGAAGAAGACGATTCACATTTGTAGCGGGGCGACGTTTATTTAAATGTTCGAATATCGACGACAAGAAGCCCGAATTCATTCAGCCCGAAATGAACGGAGGAAGAAGTAGATTAAAAAATATGTTTGAAAGAATTGCTAAAATTTCTAAGAAGGAAAAAGAAAATTCACATTTGTCGTGGAGCCACGTTTACATAAATGTTAGAATGTCGATGACAAGAAGCCCGAATTTGATTCGGTCCGAAAAGAACGGAGGAAGAAGTGGATTAAAAAATATGTTCGAGATAATTGCTAAAATTTATAAATGAACTGTACAATTATAGATGATCCTGAAGCATATTCGAGTTATATTTTTGTCAAAATCTGTTTGATTCTACGCTCGAATGTTTCGAAAATGTTCAAACTTCTGATCTTTCCGCGGAAAATACAGTAATTTTTCGAGGAAATGCCAAATTTCAGTTTGCTGTGCTAGTCTTGCACCTATGTAATTTACTGCTACGTCGATGCACACAAAAATGGACAATTTGGGAATCTCGTATCTCAAAGAGATATGATAATTCGAGCCTTGCGTCTCGCTTTTATAGTTGTTGACAAACGGTAACTAAAAAAACTAACCGCAAGGCTCGAGTAATCGTATCTCCTTTCCTCGAATTGTCCACTTTTGTGCGCAATCTGAGCGCAAATTGGGGAAAAATTACTATATTAGGTATGTGATCGTCGAATCGCGTCAAGTGGCCTCCGAATTGCCTTCGAATCGCGTCACGTTGCCTCCGAATTGCCTTCGAATCGCGTCACGTTGCCTCCGAATTGCCTTCGAATCGCGTCACGTTGCCTCCGAATTGCCTTCGAATCGCGTCACGTTGCCTCCGAATTGCCTTCGAATCGCGTCACGTTGCCTCCGAATTGCCTCCAAATCGTGACAAAAAAATTAGAAATAGAAAAGTTAAATCATCCTTTTTGTGCGCCATTTTCCGGCGACTGCGGAAAAACGAACCGCTCGAAAAATCGCGAATGACGGACCGCTTAACGCTGAACCTGCCACGGTCAAATGAGACTCCGTTTCCCATTCGACGATTATAAAAAATGATAAACACATTGTCACGGGTTATCGATCGACGAAACTACATCATTGGAGCAAAACTGCCGTAATAAAAAACTGCGCCGATCTAAATACATAGATCGGATCTCGTCGGTTTCACGAGGCGCTGCACGCGGTCGATTTTATTGCTCGGCGCGCGTTCAGCGTTAAGCATGATTTTCCCATCCGCGTGCAGCGTCGCGAGGCCGAACGAGCGTAAAGATGTGTGTGTGTGTGTGTGTGGAGCATTGCATGGACTTACGATGATGATGTCGAGGTTGTTGGTCAGGTGGTCGGGTAGAACGCGCTTGCTGACCTCCTCTTCCGGCATGCCGTCGAATCTGTCGTGTTTCTTCCTCTCTTTGTACGTTTTCGCCCGCTTCTTCGCCTCGGCCAGCTCCGCCCTGTATCAAATTACGCCGGAGAGTTAGAGAAACTTGGTCGCGACTTGGCCGGCTCTCCATTATCGCTAGAATGTGGATACCAGAGAGGAAGAGCGAGAAAGAGAGAACGAAAGTGCTAGAGAGAGCGAGACAGAAAGTGCAAGTGCTAGAGGGCGCGAGAGTGAGAGCACAAGTGCTACAGAGCGAGAGAGAGAGAGAGAGAGCGAGTGCTAGAGGGCGCGAGTGCTAGAGGGCGCAAGTACTAGAGGGCGCGAGTACTAGAGGGCGCGAGTACTAGAGGGCGCGAGTACTAGAGGGTGCGAGTGCTATAAAGCGTGAGTGCTGAGGGCGCGAGTGCTAGAGAACGTGAGAGAGAGAGAGAGCGCGAGTGCTAGAGGGTGCGAGTGCTAAGAGCGCGAGTGCTAGAGAGCTCTTGAAAGAGCGCGTGAGTGCTAGAGAGCGCTTGAGAGAGCGCGCGAGTTCTAGAGAGCGAGAGAAAGAGAAAGATCGGTCACCCTGATCGAATCGGATTTGCTAGTGCTCGGACGTCGTTCGGAGCTCACCCTTCAGTCGTTAACCGGCTCGCCGACGCGACAAACTACCCGCTTTGCCCGCTCCGGCCGCGACGGACAACGGTTTCTCATTCGACGGGCAAGTCGGCCGCGCTTCGCAGTTTCGCCCGGATCGAATGACGGCGGCGCGTTCACGGGTCCGTGTACGGATTCGCTCGATCTCGGCCGGGAAAAGCGCCTCGCGGAGGTGATAAGTTGGTTAGCCGAACGGGGACAACGGGGCCATCACACCTGGACTGGCCGGCACCTGGAGTCTCTGCTCTCTCGGCCTCTGGCTCTCTTGCAGTTTCGTGCACTCTCGACTCGTCACGCGATCCGGCGCGACGCGGTCGTTTCAGCCAATAATGAAAATACGCGGGTGCTATCAGAACCGGGAGGGCGCCGCGTGCTCGTAAGAGTTCCCGGGGAGCCCTCCCGCAGCCCGAGAGTTCGACCACCGTGGGAGTTTTCGCCGAGTGCGAATCCCACACTACTTTCGCCCTCTCGGCCCTCCCGCCCCCTCCAAGGGCGCAGGAGTCTTTCACCCACGGATAGCTGACGGACGCGCCGCGCTTTCGCAATCAGTGATAGACACCGCGATCGTTTTGCCCCTGCATGGCACACACAGGGTCGACGTTGCCGCAAGTATTCGGTAACGCCGGCACTGTTTTCGAGCATCGATGAGAAAATAATGTCGATCTTTTTAAAATTGTAGACTCGGAGATCTGCGCAGATGATTGCCGCGTTGGTTCTGTATGTGATCTGGAGAAAAGTGTTCGAACACCTTTTTTCTGACGCGATTAATTTGTAGACATTGTATCAATTGTATTTGCAATATTTAGTGATCGTTTGAATGCGAAAGTTTATAGAAAATAATGCTTTTCTAATGTGAATGAAGCAAACAGGTACGAGATACAAATCTCGTTCTTTGTTTAATAATTTTAGTGAGTTTATAATATATTTGCTACTAATTTATTTGTTAATAATATACTTAATGATATAATTTAATGCTATAATTTAATAATATATTTAGGAATATTTTTTCTTCCCTCTTTTTTTTTTTTAGTTTTAAGGTTTTACATTTTTATCACTTTTTCTTCCGATAACAAATGGTTTAACCCATCGATATATACAATTATTATCATCATCGTCATCATCGTTATGAATTATATATAAATAATTTTGAGTTCTTTCAATCTTTCTATTTTTTCAAATTTAACCGATCCATCAATTCCAACTGATTACGATCTGTGAGAACAATTTCTTAGGCATCGTTCGGTAACGTCTGAAACAAGATTCGAGTGATTTCAAACGGGTAAGATTTTTTCGTAAAAATGTGTTGCGTTTTAAAAGGTGTTCGACTACTTTCGCGAGATACGTATCTTCCGAAGAATGTTAGTCGAATGAATGGAGGCCTTAAGTCGGCGTCGCGCAGGTGTCGTTTACCCCCGCGATGTTCCTCGACAGAAGTGAAAGATGCGCCGGGGGCCAGGTTATAATCGAGTCTCGCATCGATCCGCGGACGCGATCGACTGCGCCGCATATTATTATTTAGAATGAACTGTAAGCCGCCGACCGCGAACACTCGTCGCGCTCGCGCGGCGTACCCACCAAAATTAGGCCGTAAATATGCAACCGATTCCGGTCGGTTCGTTAACGCGATTATCGAATTTAACGAGGGACACGGTCGGCACACAGCCCCCCCCCCCCCCCCCCCCCCCCCCCCCCCCCCCCTC